CAGGATATAAACAGCGTAACTATTTGATATTCAAAAATATTTTAAAAAATTAAAGAAAAAATCTCAAGTCTCTTACCACTCCTTTTCACGGTGTTTCACACATCTTCAAAATGTCTTTCATTCTACCTATGCACTATTACTTTTAACTAGTACGTCCCTTCACACGAGTCCGTAAAGGTAAGCTGATGCTGCTAAACCATGATCTTTCAAGGTCACTAGAAGGAAAAGCATTTTGGTCATGCTATATTCACTACCTATGATTGCTATTTATGTATCGTAAATGCCAGTTGCGTTTGCTGGAGTACCAAGGTGAAGTGACAAGTCAGCAGATCCCGTCGCGGTGACTTGGAAAGGAAGGCCTGCAGGTGCCACCAGCTGGGAAGCGGGTGAGCCCAGGCCATCCCACCGCGCTCTCCCCTGGCCTGCAGTGGCACCTGCCGGCAAAACACCCACCCCAGGCCCCGGGCCCGGACCCGGACCCACTCTGGGTGGGACGAGTTAGTTCCTGGGCTCCTCTGCAAAGCCACTTAAACACCAAGAGTATGTACCAGGGGTCAGCTGCGGACTATAAAGTGAGTGTTTCCAGTGAGTGTTCTGTGAAGCACAAGACGACTGTTTGAGAAGGACAATACTAGTTTGACAAATATTATAGCAGCTTTGCTTTTTTCCCTTTTTTAAAAAAAAAAAAAAAAATGGTGGGTGCACCACAGATCTAAAAAGGACAGTGTCTAAATTCTGTCCCATCCCAGCAAGCCACAAACACTTGCAGAACTATCTGATTCTAGAAAAGTAAGAGGGGGGAAAAAAAAAGTAATTGTGCCTTCCACATTCAACCTACATAGTAACATTGTTTGCATAAAGTGAGGCATCTTTTTTTTTTTTCAATCAAAAAAATGAAAAATCGTTGGGCTGACTGGTGATGACTGTCAGACTGAAAGCTTGATGCTGACGAGCATGTGCAGAGGCTACCTGCTACAGTCCCTGCCGCAGCTGTCTGCTGCAATAGCCCAAAGGAATCTAGCACATCAAAGACCTGGTGGGCAGGTGTCTAAAAAACCAACCACAAACCCCAAAATTCCCAAAAGGGGCAAACTGGGGAAACAGCTTCTGGAAGAGGCAGCTGGCGATCACTTCCAATCTCCTTCCTCTGCATGCCACAGCACTCATCCGACAGCCCCGATAAAACAATTTTTAGTCAGTACTGACTAGTTCTTCCATGGCTCAATACGTCTTGGGGTGATTTCTTGGATTCCCATCAACTTGAATAGAAGTCGTGAACAGAAATAAAAGCACGTCATCAGCACCCATGCAGAAAATGAATGCTCTGGGGAAAAGGGACTAGAGAGCCACCTTTCTTGAGAGGCCTCTACCATGCTGAGCCTTCCCCATCTCCCTTCTAACTCTGCAGAATTAGTAACATTTCCTTTCCATTTCTCAGAGGCTGAGGTTCTCCTCCTCAAGAAATTCATAAATGGAAATATTCTTTGAATCTGTCTGGCTTGAAGCACATTAGTCAATGTCATAGCACAATTATTCATCTAGCGGCAAGCTTCCAGAACGTGCCGCCTGTCATCTTCCACTGTTACCAAAAAAGGGAGCATTCATAAAGTACATTTGGCCATTTTCAAACATTCTCAGTCCTATCCTGCCAGCTAGCGTACTGGGGGAACAAATGACAATTACGTCCAGAAGACAAGAAGATACAGGGGCTGCGCAACCAACACTATGAAATATTAGGGACACAAGATCACAAACTGAGCCCTGCACTCGACACACAACGCAAGAGCTCCCTCTCCCTCTCCCCGCTTCCTTTAACACCTAAAATGGAGTATGCGACCATGTCCGCCATTCTGGCGAGATACAAGTTCCCACCTTGCTCTTCATCCTCCTTCACTAGTTTTTGACAATAGGGCTGTCGCTGTCACACAAAAATAAGCTTGGCCAAGATTCGGTCAAGCTTCGACTCAGCTACCTGAATAAAGTTACAGTCCTGAACCAAACACCCCTGCACCTCCCCGGCGCAGCCGGCTTCCGGGGTGAGCTCCCACGGGACACCATCGGGCTGGTTCCAGCACCAGCTTCTCGGAGCCGTGCCCAGCCTAAGCTTCGCTTCCTTGCCTGCTGCGGCTCCAGCTCAGCACATCTCTCTGCCCACAGCCAACTATTCCCACACGGTACAACGCAATTTTCTTCCCCTCCTCCCAGCCGAGCAAGACCACCTGAACCTCAATTCTCCTTCACAGAAAGGACTTCTGCTGTACACTTCCACCAACAGAAAGGAAGCTGGAGGATAAGTCTCCGTTAACTTTGTAACATCTTTCTTACTGGGAGACCGAAGAAAGGCAAACCAAAAGCTTTGCGTAGACCACAACTTGTGTTTAGTGAAAAATACATACTTAAATGCTTTTTAAAAAAGCAGATAGCCCACGTCAAAGCACTACAGTAGAAAGCAGGATGTTTCCATCTAATACCCAAAAGTATGCTAAAATGGTTCTGAAGAAGAACACAATAAATATGCACCTCCTTCTCCAAAAAGCATAAAGGGCAGAAGTTGGACATAATAATAATGTTAAAGTAGGGATAAAAGATGGGCCTAAAGTGGATGAAGTTATTTTTTGCACAGAAAGCACACTAACTACAACAGTCAGAGGGAACTTTCTTCATCTCTACTAACTCCTAGGAGCTCACATATTACCATATGAAAAGTCCAGACTGTACCTAACAAAGTATGCCAGGTGTTGAGCAAAGCATCTGCTTCCTTCAGTACACTGACCTTGGAAGTACAGCAGCTATTGTAAGTTTATTCACATGTAAGACTCATGGACATGGGGGCAGGGGGCAGAATTGATTTGACCTCTATTCCTCTTCCTTTTCCATCCCTCACTTCCACTTTATTTACTTTATTAACTCTTTCAGTTTATTGAGTAGACTAGAGGAAGGGGACCCAACAGAAAAGCAGTATTTATCCATTGTGTAAGTCTAGATGAAAAATTGTCAGCTGTCAATTTTGTATTTAAAGTTTAAGTTAAATCAATATACTGCACACCACAGTACAGACTCATTGCTTATCTCCAAAGCAACAGCAGGTTTTCTACTGTTTGTTACTCAACTTCTGCAGGAAGAATACGTGACTTAAGGCATACACGTACCTTGTGCTCAGTCCTGCACTTCTCAGTTCAACATACAAGCCAATTATGTGAATTCTTTACATACCTAATGACTGCAAACTCAGCCCTTAAATAGCCTCTGATTTAGAGGCTTTTGTCATACACTTCGAGCAGTGGCTCTGAATGTATGACAAATACGTCTTTTTCAAAGCGTTGTTAAGTTTTAATCTCAAGAATAGATCACAATTAGAAGACATCAAGATTTAAATAATTTCAGTTATTTAAATCATAACTACAACTTTTCTATCAGAGTTCAGTGAGTTGCAAAAGCTAATTTATTCTTCCTTTCCCTTCAGTGTTACTTGGAGGATTTCAAAATTAAAAACTCAAAAATATAAAGCTAGAGAGAAAACAGGGCATAAACCAAGAAACAAAATACTGCCAGGTGAATTGGTTTTTTTATTCCCTTGTAGCTCCCAGAAATTTTCAGTAACAGATCAACCTAGTTGCTTGAAAAGGCAAAGAAAACATAAATGTAACACTGAGTACATGGCAGACCTCATTAAGATGTTTTTAAAACACATTTTAGAACACAGTGAATGCACATTCTCATTGTGTAATTATCTTTCACAATAAAAGTTAACAAATTAAGTAGAACAAAACAGGAAAATTTGAAGTTTTGCATGTCATTTCCTCCAGAACATTTGAATGAAAAGTAGTTTTTACAATCTTATACCTTTTCTATATGAAGGCCTTCTAAGAGAAGCCAAGTCTTCTGTGTATGACCAGCATTTCATTTAAATCAACTTTCACTCTCTCGTTCCGAGAGTCATCTCTAGGGCCTATTTCCACTTTAAGCTAAAGGTGAAGGTTCTTTTTTTTTTTTTAATTGGTATGTCAGCACTCCCAGCATCTGCTATGTTCTGTATTCCTTCAATATAAAGCATAATGAATAATTCTAAGCAGAAACAGAACCCCTCATACTCCTCCCAAGAGCAGAGAAGTTGCACCAGAAGTTTACTTCCATCTACTGCACTCCCTGGACAAATTAAAATCCTGACGTTCTCCACAGCAGCTACCAGCAAGGATTAACATTACAGGAACAGTAATATGAACAGACATGGAAGTTAGCTGATATGAGATAACCACATGCCCACTATCATAACTGAAGAGGGAATTCTGTGTAGGTTTTGAATTTGTGACCTACTAACAAACAGTTATTATACTCCCTTATTATCAAGTCTCTTTGCCACGATCCTCTCACAGGGTTGAAAGGGGAAGAGCTCTATTTTCAGTGTAACAGACAACTGGCTTCTAAATAAGAGATATTCATGTCAGAAAAAACCCCAAAGCATTAGAAAACTTCAAGAAAGCATCTCTCTCATAGCATAAACCATGGCAGGCATTAAATTCAAACTACAAAAGAATTATATTGCTTCCCGAGATCCAAGATTTATACAAGTTGCTTCTAAGCAGCATTACAGGTATCAGTCAGGACACTGCCAGCTTACTTTTCCAGAAATTTCAATTCATCATTATCTCATTATTTCGGGGAGCAGAAGGTCAGCTCATGTCTTACCGCAGAGCCTGACCTATCTTCTTGAAAGAAGTAAATCTATAGTTTTTGCATTCCTATTCAGAGTAAGCCCTTCAAAAACAGGATTGCAGAATTTCCTCTTTTTTTTTTTTTAATGGGCAACAAAAGCCATACTTGCACAATTTTTACTCTTCAAACTAGTGCCTATTTGATATTTTAGTTCAGATGTAAACTTCCAAAACATGGATTTCGATTTGTTGTAGATTTAATAACGCAGCTTTCATCATCATCCTGTTTCAAAATAGCACTTGAAACCTCAATAAGCAGCACAGGTTTGTCTGCCAAAAATCACTTGTTTACAGCATAGTCTCTTGGCACATTCTGACTGGAATATTATAATGTCTGTCATCTTCAGTTATGAGAGTCACCACAGGCCAGTCCTCCTCTGGGTCATTGGGATAAGATGTGATGAATTCATCAGTATTATATTTATACAGTCGATACACTTGGATGGTATACTGCAGAGCGTAAGCAAGGAGAAACATTTCCACCTACGTTGGGAAAAAGCAGAAGTGTAATGTGTAAAATTAAACATGCCTTTTACAAAATATTTCTCAAAAATACTAAACTAGTACCTTTCAGATGTAATTTTTCAAAGAAAAAAATATGAAATGAGAACGCATATACATGAGCATCTCTAGTTCAGCATCTCAATCATTCAAGGCGTTCTTAACTTGCTGCACAAATACCTCTAAGATACCATGCCTTTAACATGGAGCTCTTCAGACCCAACAGTGGCATGGTAGGATATTAGTCCTCAAGACAAGCTACTTTATACAGAGAATCCCACTTCCCTCCTGCCACAAACAGGTAGGCAAGACATACTCTCGTATCAGTATTCATCCCATTAAGTCACTAAAACAGACAAGAATAGGTTTCAGGGAATGATCCTCTCCCTCTCAGAGGGTAATCTGAACTCTCTAGCCAAATAAAAAGCAGATGGAAAACCTTTACAAAGCCTGTTGATATCAGAAGGAATTCAGAGAAAGCAGCTGGAAAATCTTCTACCTTGTCTACTACAGTGGCAAGCCTATCCTGTTCTAAATAACAATTTACAAAAAATCTCACTGAAATAAACAAAACCTAGTCAGCACAAAAATAGGCAACATCACTTATTGACTAAACTGGGCAGCAAAAAGGTCACCAATGAATCAGCTAATGTGACAGTAACAGCAACCTGTCTCATCTATACTAGAGTCATCATATTTTTAAGCCAATAAACAGAAACAAAACATAGTACTTCCATGTTTCTAAATGCAGTACCACACTTGTAACTTATTCAATGGGATTTTTTTAAATGGATGTTTCTAAAATCTTTCAGACTATTCAGCTTATTAACCACTACATTTTGTTTTGGGGCTTTTTTGTAATATGCATATCATTTCTGCAACATATAAGGCATTAACTGTCATCAGTTTATCAGATTTCACCAAGTATATGTACTACACATAATCTTCTTTTCATAATTTGAGTATTAGCTTTTATCGTATTTTTTAAAAAAGCTAACAAGTAGGAGACTAATAGAAATGTTACTATTTATAGAATACCATACTTCCAAAGAATGCTACCTAAGTGTCAGCCGTCAGACAAAAATCAATGGTTCAAAGGAAGGCCTTTACACGCTCTTACTACAAGCAAGTGGTTCTACTATATTTTTCTGCAACAAAAGACCAGAACCTACACCATTAAATTTAGCCAGACCAACAAAAGCTGGGTGATTTCTTAAACCACTTGAAACCAAAATCTCCAAAACAGGAAAGTAATACCGTGAGAACAATCTCTCCTTACCTGTTCAAGGCCTCCACTGTGACCAATGTGATTCAAGTGATTACGCATTAACTGACAAGGGTTGCTAGATGTATCCCGTGCAAACAGTAACCATGAGAAGACAGGAACTCTCCTTCCATTTTTATCATCGTTGTATAATTCGATGGCAGTGTTAAGCATTAAAAATTTCAGCGCTTCATAGAGACTATACTCCTCCTCTTCGTTTTTAAACAATTTATCACAAGCTTCTTGTTTCTCAATAGAACCCTTGATTTCACTTATATTCTTCCACTACAAAAAAATAACACACAAAACATGCATCAATAGCCATCACCATGCACGAGCTGTAAAAAGCCACTTGTGAATTGTCAGATGTTCAGAATAGGCACTCAGAATTTAATTTATGAAGGGCTGTATGTCTTTTTAAAAACACTTGAGACTATTTCCACAGCTGTAGTCCTGTCAGGGTCAAGTTGAGTTAGTCTGATTTTGACTAAATCAGTCCTTAAGCAAAGCAAAAGAAGAGAATGTTGGAAATTGTTGCAAGGTGGCAAAGCAAATATTGTCACAGGACAATAAGCAATAAGGTAATAAGTAACCTTTTTGTTTCTTGTATCATAAATCCTACATCCTTCATAGTCTTTACATTTCAGTTACTCAGAATGTGTATTTCATTCTCACCCTCAGAAACTGCTTGAATGCAGCATTTAAAATATTCTTAAAAGCCTTCAAAAAAAGAGAATATGCATACACAGTAAGACAGGAACAACTGAAGAGCTTTTAAATAGGTTCCAGAGTTTCAAGAGCGGGGAGGATGGGGCTAAGAAATATAGTATGAACACTGAAAGGGCACAATCATTTTCCTGCTACATCAACCTAGAATAAAAACGTGTAAGCTTGGAACAAAAACCACTCCTTTGAAATTACTCCAGTATTATTCTGGTTTTTTTTTTT